TTACCCACGCATCAGTGGGCCAGCACCAGAGCCAGAAACCCCAGACCCACAGCCAGCCAATCCAGGAACCAGCTCTGCACACCAGCAGACCAATACCAACTCCAGCCTCCCCAGCCCCCAAGCCCTGCAGCCCCAGCCCCTCCCACCAGTGGGCTGGCATGAGCTCCAGCCTCCCCAGAATCTGCAGCCAGCCAGCCCAGAACCTGGTCCTGCCCATCAGCAGGCCAGCACAAGCCCCAGGATCCTCAAGCTATGTGACCAGCCATGCTGGGACATGGCCCCACACACCAGGGCCTGGCAGTCAATACATGAGGTAGGGCCTGGCAGCCACCTAGAACAGGGACCAGTGCCGCTGACAAATATGACCACAGTAGCTGGCCCCGCCGTAATAGAGGGGTCCACACAGCCCACATAGGGGGCAACCTTAGAGCATATAGCTCTGATAAGCAGAAGTGGGTATGCTGCTAAGCTCCATAAGACATCTCCCACATAAACCATTCTCCAAGATTGGAAAATATACTTGACTTAGAGTTCATAGAAATAAAAAGAGAATTCAGCAAAATGAGGAGACAGAGGAGTTATGTTTGAAAACAAAGGAAAAAGACAAAGCCCCAGAAGAAGAAATAGGTAAAGTGGAGATAAGCAATCTACCCAATAGAGTGTTCAAGTTAATGATCATGAAGATGCTCAACAAACTCAGGAGAAGAATGGATAGACATAGAGAAAAAGTTAACAAAGAGTGAAAAAATATAAAGATGAACTAAACAGAGCTGAAGAATACAATAACTGACAAAAAATATACGAGAAAGCAATCAAAACAGATTAGATAATAAAAAGAAATGAATCAGTAAACTGGAAGACAGAGTAGTGGAAATCACCCAAGCTGAAGAGAAAGAAAAGAAAAAGGAATTTAAAAATTTTAGAATAGTTTAAAAGACCTCAAGGACAACATCAAGCATACTAACATTCACTTTATAGGGGTCTCACAAGGAGAAGAGAGAGAGAAAGAGGCAAAGAGCTTATCTGAAGAAATAATAGCTGATAATGTCCCTAACCTGAAAAGGAAAAAGACATCCAAGTCCAGAAATCACAGAGAGTCCCAAACAAGATGAAACCAAAGAGGTCTAAACAAAGACACATTATTAAAAAGTGGTAAAAATTAAAGATAAAGAAAGAATCTTAAGAGCAGCAAGAGAAAAGCAATTAGTTATACACAAGGGAACTTTCATAAGACAATGAGCTGACTTTTCAGCAGAAACGTTGCAGGGTACACAAAACAAAAGATACAAAATATGATGTCAAAAACAGTAAACACTGGGGGAAGGTGAGTAAAAACACAGGATTGTTAACATGCATTCAAACTTAAGAGAGCTTAAACCTTAAACTAACACACACACACACACACACACACACACACACACACACACACAAATAGGTTTTTATATATGAATCTCATGGTAACCACAAACTAAAAATCTGTAAGAGATACATACCAAAAAAAAGAATCCAAACGTAAAATTAAATACAGTCATCAAATCACAAGGGAAGAGGGCAAAATAAGATGACAGAAACAAAAATAAACTATAAAAATAACCAGAAAACAATTAATGAAATGGCAATAAGTACATACCTATCAATAATTACTTTAAATGTAAATAGACTAAATGCTCCAATCAAAAGAAACAGAGTGGCTGAATGAATAAAAAATCAAGAGTCATATATATGCTGCCTATAAGAGACTCACTTAAGAACTAAAGACAAACACAGACTAAAGTGAGCAGATGGAAAAATCAACTCCATGAAAATGAAAACGAAAAGAAAGCTGAGCTTTCTTTAAAACAGAAATTAACAGACTTTAAAATAAAGACTGTAACAAGAGACATAAAAAGACATTACATAAGGATAAAGGGATCAATCCAACGAGCAGACATAACAACTGTAAATTGTTATTTAAAAGTGGACAAATCACATGAATGGACATTTTTCCAAAGAAGACAAACAAATGACCAACAAACACATGAAAGGATGTTAAACATCACTAATCATCAAGGAAATGCAAATTAAAACTGCAAAGAGATATCACCTCACTTCTGTCCAGAATGGCTATAATCAAAAAGACAACAAATAAGGGTTAACAAGGATGTGGAGAAAAGGGAACCCTTGTGCACTGTTGGTGGGATTGTAAATTAGTACAGCCACTATGTAAAACAGTATGGAGGTTCTTGAAAAAACGTAAAAATATAACTGCCATATGATCTAGCAATTGCACTTTTGGGGTATTTTTCAAAAGAAATGAACAAAAACACTAATTTGAAAAGATGTATGCTCCCCTATGTTCATTGCAGGATTATTTACAATAGCCAAGATATTGAAGCATCCTAAGTGTCCATCCAAAGATGAATGGATAAAGAAGATGTGGTGTGTGTGTGTGTGTATGTATGTGTGTATATATATATATATATATACACACACACACACACACAATGCAATATTACTTGTCCATAAAAAAATAATGAAATCTTGCCATTTGTGACAACATGGACGGACCTAGAGAGTATTATGCTAAGTGAAATAAGTTAGACAGAGAAAGACAAATACCCCATATGATTCTACTTTTATGTAGAATCTAAAAAACAAAACAAACATAACAAAACAGAAACAGATTCATAGATACAGAGAACAAACTGGCGGTTGCCTGAGGAGAGGGAGTTGGGAGATGAGTGAAATTGATGAGGAAGATTAAGAGGTACAAACTTCCAGTTATAAAATAGGTTATGGGGATGTAATGTACAGCATAGGGAATATAGTCAATAATATTGTAATAACTTTGCATGGTGACAGATGGCTACTAGACTTATCATGTAATGTATAAAAATATCAAATCACTATACTGTGCACCTGAAACTAATATAATATTCTAAATCAATTATACTTCAATAAAAAAAGAGGGGAAAAAAGACATGAATGCAAGACTTGAAAGCATAAAACTCCTAGAAAAGAAAGCCACTGCTTACTTACTCGTACATGTACATAAAGGTGAAGGAACTGAACAGGATGTTCACTGAACTGCAGTCATTCATAACAACAAACAATATAGAAATAATCTAATATCCGCCAGTAGAGTACTAGCATATAATTATATTATGGAATGCTACAAAACCACTCAAAATAATAAGGTTAACATATTTATACTTATGTAAAGATCTTCAGGACCTACTGCCACAAAAGAGTTGTTACAGAAGAAAATATAATGTAAGGAAAAATTTTAAAACTATATCTATATATTTGTACATATGAATATGAAGAGAGAAGAAACAGATTATAAGGAACATATCAAACCTTGAACTGGTTTACTCTAATGAAGGACTAAGAGTTAGAGGAGAGGACAAAATGAATGTTTAAAGTTTTCTTCTATATAGCTCATTAAATTTGAAACATTTTCTGAAAATATTTTAAAATTTTGGGTAATCAAATTTTACAAAGTTTTATATGAGATAATGCATTATAAAAATGTTTAAAGATATCATGAATCTATAAAATGAAACTACTGATATATCATCCTTATATCTAGGATCATAACTACTGACAATTATTTGCTTACAAGTCCTCATTTTACACAAGTTAAAATTGAAGGCCAGGGCTTCCCTGGTGGCGCAGTGGTTGAGAGTCCGCCTGCTGATGCGGGGGACACGGG